TGGGATCATGACCTGAGCCGAAGGCAGACGCCTAACGACTGAGCCACCCAGGTGCCCTCCCATATTTAATATTTATCATCATGGAATTTACTCTTTCCAAAAGCAATGAAGATAGTAAATTCTAAATAGGAATCTGCTCCAATGTCTTCAAAATATTTATTTAAGATTTTATTTATTTATTTGAGAGAGAGAGAGCATGAGCAGAGGGAGGGAGAGTGAGAAAGCAGACTTCCCTGTTGAGCAGGGAGCCTGATGTGGGGCTCAATCCCAGGACCTTGGGATCATGACCTCAGCCAAAGGCAGACAGACACTTAACCAACTGAGCCACCCAGGCACCCCCAATGTCTTCAAAATAAACTAACCAATGCATGATGCATTCTAAAAATCCATATAGGAAAAAGGTAGGAAGCAATGAAACATTAAAAAACCCTCAATTAAGTTATTAATTAAAACTTTAAAGATAAATAAACAAATATGCTTGAATACTTAGTTTGGATGGATACAAAAACAAATGTATAAAAATCCAGGGATAATTCATTTTGATTACAGGCATGACATTTTTAAAGTTTACCCCTGAATAAAATAGCTGACTGCCCTAATGCAGCTATATATATAGTTTAGAAGTCAGACATATATAAAAACAATTTTAACTAAAAAACAGTAACAAGATTTAAGACCAGTTCTGTTTTCATTGCTTCTAAGTGCACACATACACAGTACACCCTATAATAATATAATCATATCAAGAAAGAGAATATTACATCTTTGAACACATGCAGATGATTTCCTTTATTAGGGGGAAATGCTGATGATAGGAAAAGCTTCGCAAGGCTTGGTCTGCCAGCTCCACTAATTCTAAGAGATTCTTCTCTCCCTAAAAAAAGGGCAGAATGAAACAGTAAATGTCAAATTCACGTACAAAAGAATTCTCAACAGCTAACTAAGCAACTTCAAGAAATTAGATCATTCATTAAGAAAGAAAACAGATGAACATATGGGAAGGGGTTGGGGGAGGAGACAGGAAAATAAACCATAAGAGCCTCTTATCGATAGAGAACTGAGGGTTGATTGATGGAGGTGGCTGCAGGATGGGGCAGATGGGTGAAAGGTATTAAGGAGGGCACTTTTCGTGATGAGCACTGGCTGTTATATGTAAGTGATGAGTCACTGAATTCTACTCCAGAAACCAATATTGCACTGTATGTTAACTAAGTAAAATTTAAATTTAAAAAAAAAAAAGAAATTGTTTTCATCTACTTCCAATTGTGCAATAAAATTACATAATTCATATCATAAGAACAAAAGCTCCAAAGTCCACTTACTTAAGTGATATATTTATGTGTAAATTTGTAGCAATGATGTGCTATGTCAGGGAAAACTTAGGATCTAAAACAAAGAGCCATCATGTCAAATAAGCCTTTCTTTTTAAGATTATATTTGTGCCAGGAAGTAATTCATAACCCATTAAGCACCTTAAGAACTTCACAGAAAACCAAGCTACCTAACATCTCTACAGCTAGTAACCTAAGAATAGTGACCCCAGACATGTGACTCCGTATTTCTCCACGGCTCCCAGAAGCCAACAGCTAGAATTCCCTGGCCCTCTGCCTTTCTCCCCTCTTAGAAGCACATGGCTCTCTACTAGGACTTGCTGCCCAGCACTCCAACACAGCCACTCCCAATACCAGTCCCTAACTGTCACTTCATGCCAGGACAGGGTCTGAGATGGCAAACCCAAAAGTGAAGGGGGAGAGGAAAAGGACAAAGACAGCACTCCTCCCCCTCCCCCGCCCCCCGCACTGCTATCTTCTGGCCCTAACATGGACTTGCAAAGACAGTGCTAGAACCCCTCCTCCCCACCTTCCTCCACATCACTCACAGGGCACAGGAACAACTACCAGTGGTCAGTACTCAGGGAGTCCCCAGGAGGACGAAACCTGTAGTCAGGGGAAGGTTCTCCAATCCTCCTGCTGGGGCTTGTCACATGGCCCTGAACACTTAGAACATTTAAAAAATCCATCATATTATCTGGGGCTGTACAATACCATCACAGGCTTTGGGGGGGTTGGTCTAAACTTCAATAAAAACTGACAGACTGTACCCTTGAAGTCACAAGAGAAGCTATAAAGAATAGGAATGAATCAATGAAGATAACGAACAGCTTTTCTTTATCTAATCCTGCACTGGTCCAGGATGATCTGGGTAAAGATAGGAAAATGGATGATATGTCTCTGGAGGTATATAAGAAGCCAAAAATTTAGGAAAGAGATTAACAACAAAATCCCAGAACCACTGTAACACTTAAGAGAAACCACCTTTGACATCTATATTATTTTTTGCCTCTCATAACGAAGAGGCTGATAACTTGTATCATAGGAACTTTCTCCTTTTCCCTTATAGGCTGTTTCCAACATAAGAACAAGAAGAACTTCCAATAGTTTTTATGTCAGTAATATTTGTTTTTAAGAGTCACCACAGAATTTCTTTCCACTACATTAACCTTATATTGTATTTAAGATGCTATTCAAATTAATTTGCATTTCCAGTGTATATATTAAATGAAAGGGATATAATGCCTGGCATACAGTAGGCACCCAAGAAATATTTACTCAATAAATAAATGTATCCAGAAGCCAGACAAGGCCAGAACACAATTTCAAACTAGCCATGAATAACCACACTTGAAGCTAGCTAGTACTTCTCCTCCTCTCAGATGCACACACAAACTAAAGAATGTAATATAAAATATGTGATATACAAATGTATCAAGTAGCCATGAAATAATAAACCCAACAGTTATAGTCACCTTAATAATCAGTTCTCTTCTGTCATCCAATTTCAGTTCAATAGGTTTTTTCACGATAAATAAATTAGTAACTCTGGAGAGAACTCTGGCATCTATTGAAGGGCGCTTCCTGTCAGCCCCTTCTTCCCTTGTGAGATGACATGCTAAAAGCTTTAATGCTAGTGAACGGACCCTAAAGAAACAAAGTGTTTCAGTCAACATTTTGTAATATACAATGTCTATACTGTAAAAGCCTATAATCACAAAGCATTATTGTATATCAACACAATAATTTGCCATGTTTATACTGACATTACTAACAAAGGTACTTTATTTTTCTATTAAAATAGTGTACAACTACAATTATTCTTTCAATTTTATATTTATAAATAAATATCAGAAATAAAGAATAATCAAGTTACAAATGAAGAGACAGACTCACTGAGACTTCACAGTCCATGGTCAGTATCACAGTCAATGGCAATAAATTAGTAAAATCTGGAAATTACATCCATAACCCCTGACTTGAAGTCTAATGATCTAGCTCAAAATCAAAAATTATCACAGACTCATGAACAGAATATAAACATTAGGTCAAACCTCCAGGAGAGTAATCACATTAATAACTAAAATGTGATGTCACAACAATGTATGAAAATGTTCTTATATAAGGAGTCAAACAGATTCTTCCCAAATAAGAAAATGCAAATATTTGTGATTACCATCAAAATTCTATTTTATCTGGAATGGATTAGGATTAAGGTCAGTTGAGTAGAAGGTGGGAGATTTCAAGAAAAGATTAAATATTGCATGCCATTAGACAATGAAATGGAAAAATGAAAATCAAGTGCAAAGGGCATGGAGCTGGGAGACAGTGAGACAACCAGATATCTATCACTACTCTGACAGGTCCTTGAACTACATAAAAACTGGGAAAATCTGAAGTGATAACCCAAGTTCCAGGTTTTAAGTATCACTTATAAGACGACTCAGGGAGCCCTCCCTACCGCAGCCAAGGCTAGGTCACCTTGCTGTGTGTGGTCCTGTCACCCTGAAGTCCCTGTGGCATACCACTGATCTTGCTTTACTACAATTAATAATAAAGTATAACTGGTAACATTTCTTCTCCCAATTACATGCCCAATTCCATATGGGCGGTGCTGTGCCCACGTTGAGTGCTATTAATTTCCTACAGCCTACCACGGCTCTTAAACACATAGTTAACATCCAATAAGTACTTCCCAAATCTACCAGAAATTTACAGTGATTTTATTAATAGATATCATCTTCAGAGTACTGATATTTACCCCAAGATGGTGTGAGAAGTCAGACAAACTTTCTCCCTCTACCATCTGCTGTTAAATAGCAAGACACCTACAGAAAGCTCTTCCTTTGCTCCTTTCATTCCAAGCCAAGGCCATCTATATTAAACTCTGGGGCTGTCAGCCGCCAGCAAGAAGGCCAGAGTGGAATATATAAAGCATATACTTATGCATCTCCTCTAGTATACAAATTTAGCCTTTTTTTAGGTTTAGCATGGGGAAACAAGTCCAGTTATTCTCACCACTTATTTCCTTCAACAAATATGTTTTGAGCATATTTATGTCCAAGGTACTTTATGAAGTTCTAAGGACATAAAGATCAGCAATGGACAGGGTTCTTGCCTACATAGAGTTTATGGTCTGGTGGGGATAGAATGACTCAGATGAGAACAAATATATAATTCAAACTATTGTAAGATCTGTGTGATAGAAAATTACCTTACTGGAAAAGTGCTCTGGCCTTGCCCTGGACTCCTGGGAGGGGATCTCTAAGCCCTTGGAATGTCCTGCCTGATGAGTATGTCTTTGTTTACGTGGAGACTGTGGGCCCCCAAAGGTGAACAGGAAATAAACTTTTATTGTGTTACATCGCCAAATCCGGGGGTGAAGAATACTACCCTAGCACATTAATAAAGACACTGCCCAGTCGTATGGAGACCAACTCCTGAGGAGAACAGACATTTTAACTCCATCTGCCCCTGCTTCCTGTATCACTTTACTCTCCAGGTAACTTTACTCTCTATGCTATGGTTGTAGTCTCTTTTCTTGATCTTCCTCCCTCCATTCTCTTAATGTTTTAGATTATTTCCACCTACTTCCTTATTTTTCAGTCTGACCGTGTGTTTATAAATAAGCCACTATATTATCCTGATGTAACGTTTGAGTAAAGCAAAGTTATTCATTGTCAAAAGGACGTCTGATCCTCCTAGCCTTTGCAACCGACTCTTGCCCTTCATCACTGCTTATCCATCATGACTCTAAGCTTTTTTCTCTTCTCAGTGAGGGAAAATCTAACCACTGTTACCTAAAGAGAGCTATAGAGAAGATCCACGTCGCACTGACAGAGAGGGAAAGAAGGCAATGTATTTTTTTCTTTTAGTTTAAATGACACTTATACTAGTGGTGGGGAAAAGAACACTTTTCCAGTTTCCCAAATAAGAGGACAAACTAAGCAAGATTAAAATGCCTACTTACTCTGGTATATGGTCAACTGGTCCACCACACTTTTATGAACACTTGATTTTCAGGACAAATGTTTAGAAGAGGAGGCTATTTCCAATCTATTCATCCCCGTGGCTCTCGAACCCGCCCACAGCACTCAGAAGGGCAGCGCCAGAACGCACGCTGATCTGACAGCGAGGCTGGCCGCCAGTGAAGGTTTCAGGAAAGCACCCAAAGGTCCATCCTCATGTCTGTTTAGTTTCACACACTGGTCTCCTCTCTCTGCCTAACAATGGAGAGTCACTTCCCTTTACCTTCTCTAGTTCTACCGTACTTGGGAATGATAGAATTACTCTAAGTTTCTTAGAATGCTCCCACTCATCTTGTACACGCAGAAGATCGTGCTACACTTACGACGGCTTTCTGACGAGCAGGAGCCGCAGCATGGACTTCAGTCGGGTGGTACAGGGGAGAGCCCCTTCGCCTGCCTCAGGACTCCCTTTGCTCAGGAGGAGAATGGAGTTACCCAAAGGATCTTCTGTGTCAGCATAGCCCTAACAGATTGCAGAAAAAGAGAAATTACTCTTGGTTTTATACATATTGCTGAACCTTTTAACTTGAAAATAAGAATTGTATTAGCCTGTCAAGCAACTCCTAAATTTCTTTCAACTCAGGTGAATAGTCACTTGTCAAAATAACCTATGTGAGGTAAGAAGCCTATGTAAAGTTGTATTTAAAAAACAATATTGGACAACTTCAGGAAAATATGCCAACTCTCTTGACACTTGCTGATTTTTCTATTTTCCAAGATTCTGGTAGTGGCACCTCCCCTAGATGAGGTGCTTCCCAGATCTTCAGACCTGTGCCCACATGACAGGTGGAGGCGGGGGAGTGCCCTGAACGCCCCTCACTCCTCCTCAGTGCCCAGAATCACTGCTGGAAACGCCTGTTTCCCAGAACCTGTTAATCAAAGTAACACTCTGATCACATACATACATGGATGCAATTCACAGGCAAGTTTAGTTATGTAACATCTGCTTAAAAAGCACTGTTAGCTTTGCCTAAAAGCCTTTATATAAGGCTGAGTTCTATTTTTCACAGTCAGTGCCAAATGCCTGCACCCCTCTTCTGAACCTCCCACCCAGATCCATAAAGTGCACACAGACAAATTAGCTCTCCTGGTTTAACCTTCTTCCAGAAACAAGACAGCCACCCACTCCCTGCCCCCTTTCCCACAGAGCCTTCACGGCGTCTCCTCATTTCTTTCACAGGACAGCTCTGCTGTCTGCACACGTTTCAATCAATCACGCTCGCCCGAGATAAAAGGTATAGGAAACGGGGACTCGCCCAGAGTACCTGCAGCACTGGAATGACAGGACAGAGAGACTCAATAAACTTGTTCCAGGTCACTGCTGTCATCATCAATCGTCCCTGCAGCAGATACAGCAGGATGGCCTTGGCGGCAGCATTCACCTGTTCAACAACACGCATCACGTGACCCGGCAAAGTGAGGCTCCCACTAAAGTCACCCGTGTGCACCTCTAACATTGTGTCAAATCTGGAAAGGTGCTCTAATTAACATCTCTTCCTTCAAATGCTCATATTCCATAGCTTCATCTTACATTCTGTTCTCAGCCTTCCTCCCTAATGATTTCCTTTTTTTTTTTAATCTTTAAGGTATATGTTTGCATTAAATAAAAATTTCCCCGATGAAATAACCTGCTGGCTATAATGCCGTAGAGTTCATATCTCACATGAAAAACATAAGAGCTTCCTCTGAATTCTTTGAGAACAAGTATGTGCTTTACCTTGATTCTCACGTTTTCCTTAACATTTCTTTTTATGTAAATAACATCTCAACTGAACCCATAAATCAAAAGCAAGTTTCTTTTCAACTTCTCATTATACTATCTAGTTATAGTAGAATAGGATCTTGATTTAACTGAGTCTCTAATAAGTACACTTGTCTTTTGCATTTACTCTTATGCCATACCTCATTTTTGGGCTCTTGAATGCCAAATGCAGAGATTTCATACAAAACTTTAGGGTGAAGTAGAAAATGAATTCCATTACAAAGTGAAGACACAGGTTTAGTGACATTATGGACACCTAAGCATTCCTGTAAAATAGTTTTTAAAAATTAGTGACACTAATTTTTCCAAAGAATTCCTTTCTTCTGTTTACAATTTAATTCTAATTTTTTTCACTTTACTGAAACTTTTACCTGATAGAGGATGAAAAAAATTTCTCTTGCCTTTTGAGGCATGTTACATGATATATGTTAGGATATATGTTATGTTACTTTCTGCCAACAAGAAGAGTTTTGATAAATTAAATAACCAAACTTCTGAGACAATCATAACCTCGTGAAGTTGTTCATAATTTTTTATTATTAAAAAATTAATAATAAACTTATCCTAGGGTGTTTGCATTTTGCTCACTGAGGTTTGAGAAAGAAAAACAAAATTCAAATGAAAATAGACTTGAAGTTTTGCAGGAAGGGAAGGACAATATATCTGCAGGATATTTATCATCAATACAGCTCTGCACCTGAATAAAGTACTGACTCCATGCCGTCTCTCAAACTCATCATAAATTCTTTTCTCAATTTGAGCTAGAGGACAGTATTTTCTTAGAGACTGCTTAAGAAGAGGGTAAAAGCTACCTGAAATATTAGCAGAATTTAAATACAATATAAAACATAAAAATAAAATCAACAATGACTCTTAGAAATGGAATTTTATTCACCCTGCAAAATACTACTTCCTAACCACAAGCAGTAAATCAGAGGTCAAAAAGTTACACACACACACACACATATATACACACACATATTTTTTTTCTCTTTAGATTTTAACTTCATGCTAGACAATAACTTTATATTCCAAGCTTTCAAAAGAGCATAGCGTTGGCCTATGGTTTAATAAAAGCTCTGTCACTTGGGACGCCTGGGTGGTGCAGTCGGTTGAGTGTCCACTCCTGGTTTCAACTCAGGTCATGATCTCGGGGTCATGAGACTGAGGCCAGCGTCGGGCTCCCCGCTCAGTGGAGAGTCTGCTTGGGATTCTTTCTCCTTTCCCTTCACTTGCTCGCACACTCTATCTCCCCCACCCCAAATACATAATAAATAAAATCTTTAAAAAAAAAGTTACTTCCTCAAAATCCTTAAACTCGGGGCACTTGGGTGGCTCAGTCAGTTAAGCAACCGATTCTTAATTTTGGCTGAGGTCATGATCTCAGGGGCGTGAGACTGAGCCCTGCAGCAGACTCTGTGCCCACTGTGGAGTCTGCTTGAGATTCTCTCTCTCTCTCTCTCCCTCTGCCCCTCCCCCAGCTTGAGTGCACACTTTTTCTCTCTCTCTGTAAATAAATAAATAAATAAATAAATAAATACAGTCTTAAAAAAAAAAAAATTCAAAGCTTCATAATGGCTGGCAAGGCATTCCAAGGAATTCATTAAAGTCCACTTCAAGGACCTGAACATCAAAACCAATTCCACTATTCTAAATTTCTGAGGGTAAGAACTATCCCACACATATGGATCTTAGCTTCTTGACCTCCTCATCTCAATAACCATTATCTGCCTTGTAACTCAGGAACACTTCAACTTAGCTTCCACTTATTTCCCCTCTAAAATCATAAACATAGATTTCTACCTTGCTTAACACCTCACAATATACTACTTCTTTGACCTCCAGTCTGTAAGTCTTAACTACTTCCTTCCATCTAGCTTTTATTTCCTTTGATTCTATGGGCTATCACTTCAACTACTCAGCTCACTTTCACCAAAAGCCTTCCCTCCCATCATCAAGGAAAAACCACAACCCTTGATGGATCCAAATGTTCACATTCTCCAAAACCACAAACAGCTAGCCAATCATGCAAAGTAGATTAGTTTCACTATTAAGATTATAAAAACAATCAACTGGGCCCTCAATTCAACCCCCAAATCCTGCTATTTGATTTTATCAAACTTCTACTCATGCCAGTCATTTCAAACACACTAAACATGCCACTTATTTTCAATCTCAAAGAAAATATAGAATCAGTGGAAGGAAGTACCTTCAACATGCTGCTATACCTAAGCCCACCTACGCTCAGTTAGCCATCAATATTCTAGATCCCAATGCCTTCAATTTTCAAAGGCACTAGCTTCTCTTAATTAGCCACTTGCCACCCTCTATCTTTCCCTCTCAGCTGGTTCTTTTGATGAACATTTCTACATACTTAAATGAAAATGTATCTTCCTAACAAGCCCCTCCCGGGCTACGGCACCTATCAACTCTGTCAAATCCCTGGAAACAAGGCAGAAGCAGATATAAAACCAATGTCTACAGAATATGAGATTCCCAAAGTATAAACCACCTGCCAAAGAAAACCTTACAATCAAAAATCACATCACCTACTGAAATCAACATTTGAGAGATTCAATGGCCATAATAAATGAAAGCATTCTATATAATAGAAAAATCTAAATAAATTATAAAGTAAGTATGTTCACAATTTCCAAAGAAGCAAAAGAAGAAAATGAAAGACTATTATAGGAAAAAACAACAACAACAACAAATAAGTTAAAAAAGCAAAGAAAAAGTGTAATAATCAAAAATGGAATCAGTGAAATTTAAAACTTGATAAATAAATTAAATGCAATCACAATGAGATTGGGTGGCTATTATTAAAAGAAAGAAAAAAGAGAAAATAACAACTGTTAGGGAGCATGTAGAGAAACTGAAACCCTTGTGCACTACTGTAGGGGACGTGAAATGATGCAGCCACTATGGAAAACAGCATGGCAGTTCTTCAAAAACATTAAAAATAGAACTACCATGCGATCCAGTAATTCTACTTCTGGATATATATACCCAAAAGAAATAAAAGCAGGGACTCAGATATTAGTATGCCCATGTTCAAAGAAGCATTGTTCACAATAGCCAAAAGTCCTTCATCAGATAGTGATCCTTCAACAAATATAATTACATGCAACAGAATATTATACAGCCTTTAAAAAGGAATGTAATTCTGATATATGCTATAATATGAACTATGAAGACATCATGCTAAGTGAGATTAACCAGATACAAAAAGGCAAATACTATATGACTCCACTTATATGAGATACCCAGCACAGTCTCATTCAGTCAGAAAGTAGAATGATGGTTACCAGGACCTGGGGGTAGGGAGAATGGGGAATTATTGTTTAAAGGGCAGAGTTTCAATTTGGGAAGATAAAAAATTCTCGAAATGGAGAATGATAATGGTTGCACAACAATGTGAATGTGCTTAATGACACTTACCTGTATACTTAAAAATGACTAAGTGGTAAATTTTGTGTTACATATATTTTACCACATTTTTAAAAAGCAAGTTAGAAATAGCTGAGGAAAGAACTAGTGTACTGAATGACTGCACTGAGGAATTCCATCCAAACAAATCAAAAAAGATATGGAAAATGTGAAAGAGGATTTAAAAGACACAAAGGGTAAAATAAGGAGGACTAACACAGATCTAGTAAGAGTTCTACTTGGAGAGAACAGCAAGGATAAGAGAAATAGTAGTAATTGAGAATTATCAGAAATGAAGGTAGACATGAATCTTTTGGCTGAAGAGTACTAAACAAGACAAATAAAAAATGTGCACAAAGACACACTGCAATGAAACTGAGAACAGCAGAGACAAGGAAAAGATCTTAAAAGCAACTAGAGGAAAAAAAATCCAAGGAAATTATAATTTAACTGATAGCAGACTTCTCAACAATGACAGAAGCCTAACAAGAAAGAAGCACTCTTGACAAAGTGCTAAGGGAAATAGCAGTCGACCTATACTTCCATATCCAGCAAAACTATCATTCCGGAAGAAGGTAAAATCATGGCATTTTCAAACCCATGTACCATCAGATACAGACCATCAATAAAAATACTGCAAAACTTATTTCAGTGAAAAGTAGACTGAAGCTAAATTTATATCAATAAATGAAAAGTACTTTCAAACTAAAGAGCAGTTAAGAAGAATGAACTGGTAGGAGTCCACTATTAAATGAAAGGCATAAGGCAGCAAAAACATACATACAGTATGAAATTATATACTTTTTTAAGCAGAAGAATCAGTTGTATATATTATTCATAAAGACACACATATATAGTAAAACTATATAAAACACATGGATGGGAAGGACAAACACCAACTTTGTAAGAGTGGTTGTCTTGGTGGATGAAGAAAGGGGAAAAAAGAAAGGAAAGAAGTTTGTTATAACTAGTATTTTTATTTCTCTGAATAAAAGAGGGTCAGAATTAAAGTGGCAAAATGTAAACATCTGTTATATCTAGTTAGCATTTACAAAAATGTTAAATACAAGAGTACATTTTCTTTTTTTTTTAAGATTCTATTTATTTACCTGTCAGAGAGAGAGAGAGAGCACATGTGCATAGGCAGGGGGAGCGGCAGAGGGAGAAGCAGGCTCCCCGCTGAGCAGGGAGCCTGATTCAGGACTCGATCCCAGGACCCTGGGATCTCAACCTGAGCTGAAGGCAGACGCTTAATCAACTGAGCCACCCAGACATCCCAAGAGTATATTTTCAAGAGTACATAGAAACATATATTTTTCAGTACTGTCCTATGTACAATGTTCTTTTCAATATTGAAATAGTTAATATTTTATGTACTATTCTATGCTGAAATATCTTACAGCTTAAAAAGATAGAAAAATATTTTCTTCAAAAGAAAAATATTACTAAGAAAACAGACCTGACACTATAAAATTTAAGGTTAATAACCCAAAATTTTTCCTGAGCATAGAAATGACTTTTGTTCCTTGGTTTTAAAGATTTTATTTATTTATATGAGAGAAAAGAGCATGAGCAGGATGGGAGGCGGGGGTGCAAAGGGAAAGGGAGAAGCAGACTCCCCGCTGATTGGGGAGCCTGAAATGGGGTTCAATCCCAGGACCCTGAGACCATGACCTAAACCGAAGGCAGATGCTTAACCAACTGAGCCACCCTGGCATCCTGAATACATGGTAGAAATCAACATTTTCTTACAATGCTTCCATCATTAAATAACACAACACAAAGGTAATTCTTAACAAATCTTCTAATAAAGCAATTCAATTGCTAGACTTGCTTT